CTTTTTGCTTTTCTTCTGCTTCTTAACTTTCCTCACCTTCTTTGCAACTGGTTCATCAACGACCATGTCGTCCTCAGTCGTAATATTCTCCTCTGTGGAGAATTTAACATCACCACTATTCAAAAATCCATTCATAGCCTCATGCAATTTTGCATTCTCGGCACGAAGTTCAGCCATTTCACGGCTCTGCTCTTCAATTATACGCTGGAGATCACTCATGGTCACTCCAGAATGGGCTCTCTTGTGTGGGTTCAGATCTTCATCCTCCCCCATGGTGAATAAGTTCTATTCGCACCCTATCAAGGGTACGAAATAATCAAATCTTAATCACAATACAATAAAATGTCTATTCACACGAATATATGTCCCAAAATTGCACTCAAATGGCAAAATTAAGTATTATAGTGTCTTTTCACTTTCACTGCCTCCTATAGGATTCTCACAATCCTGAGGGCTTAATGATATTTCACAATGACTACTATAGTAGCCAGGCTTCTCACTTTTTCAAATGTCACTTAAAAATGTTCACTGCCTACTATAAAAGCTAGGCTTCTCACTTTTACAAAGCACTTTTAAAAAATTATTGATTATCCGCTCAGAGCACTGCACACGTTCACTGATCACACAACCAATAATGTTGTTTATTGCTTAGACAAATTTTCTATATAAACCGGGTATCCGAAGCGCAGCCAAAATATTCTTGTGTGAACAGTGTTTAAGTGTGTGTTAAAGAAAAAAAGAAAGTGACTAACTAAAGTGAAGTGAAAATGGCTCGTACTAAGCAAACTGCCCGTAAATCGACTGGTGGCAAAGCACCACGTAAACAATTGGCTACTAAGGCTGCACGTAAAAGTGCACCAGCCACTGGTGGTGTTAAGAAGCCACATCGTTATCGTCCCGGTACTGTAGCTTTGCGTGAAATTCGTCGTTATCAGAAGAGTACTGAATTGTTGATTCGTAAATTGCCATTCCAACGTTTGGTTCGTGAAATTGCTCAAGATTTCAAAACTGATTTACGTTTCCAGAGTTCTGCTGTTATGGCTTTGCAAGAAGCCAGTGAAGCATATTTGGTTGGTCTTTTCGAAGATACAAATTTGTGTGCCATTCATGCAAAACGTGTCACAATTATGCCGAAAGATATTCAATTGGCCAGACGTATTCGTGGTGAACGTGCTTAAGAAAGAAAATAGAGATGATGAATTGTAACAAAAAATCGGTCCTTTTCAGGACCACTGAATAAAATTTAAAAAGAGAGTTTTTTTTTTCTTATTTATGTAAACAATGCTGAATCGGTTCTTTTAAGGGCCAATAAACATATTTATAAAGAGTATTTTATTTTTCGTTGAAGCATTATTTTACCGACGGCATAACATGATATTTTCCCGTCGGCATAACAATTAATTTTGCCGTCGGCTTTTTTCATTTGACTTTTTAATAGAAATTATGGATTTTAATACAAATAATATGAATATTATGAAATAATAGTTTAATTTTTTTCTACTTTTAATATAAACAAAGAAATTAATAATATATTTCCATTAAAAAAGAATTTTTTGAAAAAAAATTGAAATTTATTTTGTTTAACACTTCATATGACATTGAAAATAATTTCACAAAAATTGTTTTAAGATGTGTTGAAGAAATTTAGAAAATGAGAGACTAAATATCAAAATTAGAGTTTTTTAATCGAAAATTTATAAAAACTTGTATTTTCCTTAAAAATGTTTTTAAATTTAGAGTAATTTTTGTTTTCATATTTAACAAAAATTTTTATAAAATTACTTTAGAAAGATATTTATGATATTATAAGGATTTATTGCGAAAAATTTCATTAAATATTTTTTTATATTTGCTTAAATTTGTGGACCAAAATAGAAAAAATGTAAACAGTAAATATTTAAAGTGACAAAATAAGAAAAATACTTAAGAAAAACTTTTATGAAATTATTTTAGAAAAATGTCATAAATATTATTTGGATATGTGGCTAAAATTTTTTATTATTTTTGATATTTGATTAAATTTATGAAAAAATGTAAACAATGCAAATTCACAGTGGCAAAACAAGAAAAATCACCAAGTAATACAGCAAATTTAAAAATAATTTTCAAAAATCTAAAAATTAAAATTATGAGAATTTTTTTAATCAATCATTTAAAAAACATTTGTAATATTCTTATAAAATCAACTTGGTTATAAAATTTCATAAAAATGTAACAATTTATTGACATTTTATTTACATTTTATGGTAAATGTATCAAAAACTTATCACAAAAATGATGATAAATATTGTTTGACAAAAACAATATGAATAATTTTTAATAAAATGCAATCTAGAAAACCCATACTATCAAGAATAGCAATAAATTTATAAAATTTTTATTAAAAATTAAAGAAAAATAAGAAAAAAGTAGAAAACTTTTGTTGAATTTTACTCATGCTCTCACTAAAAATTTAACAAATTATAGCTATCGACTACTATTAACTTCTCATTATAACAAAGTACCTTAAAATTTCGTGTGTGCACACAATCGAAAAGTTATACTACCATATACAAGTGTGTTTAAAAAAGTGAAAAAATAAAATAAACAAATACAAAATGTCGGATACCGCTGTTGTTGAAAATACTGCCTCTCCTGTTGCTGCCGCTCCAGCTGCTGAGAAAAAGGCTAAAAAAACTACTACTCCCAAGGCAAAGAAACCATCTACTGTGCCATCTCATCCTCCAACTCAACAAATGGTTGATGCTGCTATTAAAACTTTAAAGGAACGTGGTGGTTCATCTCTTTCTGCTATTAAAAAATATATTGCCAGTACTTATAAGGTAGATGCTCAAAAATTATCGCCTTTCATAAAGAAATATTTAAAAAGTGCCGTTAGATAGTGGAAAATTAATTCAACCAAAAGGTAAGGGTGCTGCTGGTTCATTCAAATTGTCAGCAGCTGCCTCCAAAGAGCCAAAAGAAAAGAAGAAACCCGCCGCTGAAAAGAAAAAGGTAGCTGCTGCTAGTGAAAAAAAGAAGAAAACAGCAGTCGCTACTAAAAAGAAACCCGCTGCTGCGCCTGCAAAGAAACCATCTGCAGCCAAAAAGACTGCTGAAAAGAAAAATACAGAAAAATCCAAGGCAAAAACTGCTAAAAAGACAGGTACAGTTAAAGCAAAACCCGCCAAAAAGGCACCAGCAACTAAAACAAAAGCGCCCAAAGCAAAAACCGCAGCTGCAGCCAAACCCAAAAAAGCAACATCGCCAGCAAAGAAACCAGCTGCCAAAAAGGCCGCAGTCAAAAAGTAAATCTAATTTATTTTTAATATTGCAAAAAGTACTATTATCTAAAACAGCCCTTTTCAGGGCTACAAATTTTTTCAACAAAAGAGATTAAATTACAAATTCAAAACTTGTATATTATTAAAATATTTCACAAAATAAATAAAATAGTAAGAATAATCGCTATGAAAAGGGACAAAAATACACATATAGGTAGGAGAAAATGTTTATTTACAATGAAAATTTCACATAAGCCGTCGGTAAAACACAAACTAATAAAATAAAACTCATTTAATCTCAATTGACTAAGTAAACAATAGGTAATGGAATCATAAAATAATATTTAATGAGGTAATGGAATCATAAAATAATATTTAATGAGTTGGGTTATTTTAAGAGTAAAGTAAAATGAAAATTCTTTTTAAACTATTGGAAAATTAGAAAAATCAAAACAAAGAACATTTTTTCATATTCAAATGAAATAATTGACAAAATAATTCCCAAAAATTATTTTGTTTGAATAAACAATACGAATAAAATGAATAAATCGTTAATTTTTTATATTTTCAAAAATAAAAACTGTTAAAATTTCATAATTAACGAATAATTTAACTTATTTAAAAAAATTAGTGTAGATAACACTCTTGGTCTAAAATAGTAAAAACACATACCATTTTTATTTAAATTGTCAAATTCACAAACCAACATCGATTGGTTTGTGAATTTGATAAATAAGATCAAATTTTGTCAGTTATAAAATTTGAAAGCAAGTTTGAAATTAAATATTTTTTCGTTCGTTTTATTAAATAAAAATAATGACAAATTTGACAATAATCACATTTTTTAGTGTATTTTAATTGTAATTACAATGAAAATTTCACATAAGCCGTCGGTAAAACACAAACTAATAAAATAAAACTCAGTAGACTAAGTAAACAGTAGGTAATGGAATCGTAAAAAAAAACTATTTAATGAGTTGGATTTTGTACAAATATTAAAAGTAAAAGAAAATTTCTTCTTAAACTATTGGTAAGTTAGAAAAATCAAAACAAAAACATTTTTACATATTCAAATGAAATAATTTACCTAATACAATAAGAATTAAATGAAATAAATATAAAATTTTGATTTTGTATAGAAAATTTGTTCATTATTCATTTTCTTCAGAATAGGATTGATAATTTTAGTATTTTTTATGAATTAAATCGTTAATTTTAAATATTTTCAAAAAAAAAAAACTGTTTAAATTTCATAAGTTGTTAACAACTTCACCTAATTTAAAAATTAAGTATCGATAACACCCTTGCTCTAAAATAGTAAAAATTCATACCATTTTTATTAAAATTGTCAAATTCACAAACCAACACAGTTTGGTTTGTGAATTTGATAAATAAAATCAAAATTTGTCAGTTATAAAATTTGAAAGCAAATTTGAAATAAAATACTGTTTCGTTCGTTTTATTAAATAAAAATAATGAAAAATTTGTCAATAATCACATTTTTATTATTGTGTAATGAAAAATTATATGTTTTAAACAATAAATGACTCTTTTTAAATGTATTTTGTGGCCTTGAAAATGGCCTTTTGTAATAATAAAAAAAGAATCAAACGGAGATAAAAGTAAATTTACTTGGAACATATGAAAATTTTTACAATAATCACAATTTTTATTATGTAATGAAAAAATATATATGTTTTAAACAATAAATAACTCTTTTTAAATGTATTTTGTGGCCCTGAAAAGGGCCTTTTGTAATAGGAAAAAGAATTAAACGGCAATTTAAGTAAATTAAATTTACTTGGAACTGGTATATTTGGTGACAGCCTTGGTACCCTCACTGACGGCATGCTTAGCCAATTCACCGGGCAACAATAGACGAACGGCAGTTTGAATTTCCCGACTGGTGATGGTCGAACGTTTATTGTATTGAGCCAAACGAGATGCTTCAGCGGCAATACGTTCAAAAATATCATTAACAAAACTGTTCATGATACTCATGGCCTTTGATGAAATACCAGTATCAGGATGTACTTGCTTCAATACTTTGTAAATGTAGATAGCATAACTTTCCTTACGCTTGCGTTTTCTGCTCTTATCACTTTTACTAATATTCTTTTGGGCTTTGCCAGCCTTCTTGGTTGCTTTTCCACTTGCTTTAGGAGGCATTTTTCACAATTTTAATTTTTAGTAGTTTACACTTCACAAACACTTTTAACACTGTTCACAAATTTTAAAATTCAACTCAATATGTACACATTATATACCTTTTTTGTGTGTACAATATACTGGTTTATTTACTTATTTTCGTGTGTAGATAATCAACCCCTAAACGTATTACTAGTAAGCAGAAAAAGTATAAATACTCGATTACTTGTGTTGAAATGATATTAGTTTTGTGTATTCAGTGCTAAAGTGAAGTGTTAACTAAAAAATAATAAAGTGAAAAATGTCTGGTCGTGGTAAAGGTGGAAAAGTTAAGAGCAAGGCAAAGTCTCGTTCAAATCGTGCTGGTTTGCAATTTCCCGTCGGTCGTATACATCGTTTGTTACGTAAAGGCAATTATGCTGAACGTGTTGGTGCCGGTGCTCCAGTATATTTAGCTGCCGTTATGGAATATTTGGCTGCTGAAGTTCTTGAATTGGCTGGTAATGCTGCTCGTGACAACAAAAAGACCAGAATTATTCCCCGTCATTTGCAATTGGCTATTCGTAATGACGAAGAATTGAACAAATTATTATCTGGTGTAACAATTGCTCAAGGTGGTGTTTTGCCAAACATTCAAGCTGTACTTTTGCCCAAGAAAACAGAAAAGAAAGCCTAAATTAATCAAGACTAAAGAAATAACATCGAGAAAATATAATACAGACCATCGTATAACAAAAAATACAACAATCCGTCCTTTTCAGGACGACAAATTCATTTTCAAAAAGAGAACAATTTTGTTTTGTAAATTACAATTTATTTAAAATATATACAAATAAATTTTAGTTATTTTAATATTTCCCTTTAATAATATACATGCAATACAGTTCTTTATAATTCTCCTATTCTATGAATATTACTTTTATTCTCAAAAATCGTTTAAATCTCAATCATCCCTACTCTTGTTTGTTTTGCTTTTACACAAACAACTGTAGCTACATCAAAAAATAACAATGTTGTTGTTACTATTTCAATACGAATCTTTGTTTGTATGCCGATGATGGAATTGTTTTCGTGTACAGATTTCGCTTTTCTCTACGTACAGTTTAGAAATTTGTTTTCTTTTTTTATTTTTTTTATTGTTATATCCGTAACTGAAGCAAAACTAAGAAATTTTATGTTTATTATTTTCTTTGTCAAAACATTTATGCTTAAAATTGATTATAAAATAATAATAAAAATTATCTATTTTTTATTCTATTTAAAAGTATTTTTAATAGACATTTTATAGAAAAAAAAAAAAAAATAAAAAAATGTTCTTATAAAAACATTTAATTTTGCCGTCGGCAAAATATATCGTTTTGCCGTCGGCAAAATTTAATTTTTGTTTTAAAAGGTTTTAGGTAAAGAAATGCATAAATTATAAAGAAATGTGTGAAAAATGTTCATTTAGCAAAATAAATTGTAAACAAACGAAATTTTCTACACAAATATTGTATAAAAAACCAAAAATTATGATTATTTTAAAATATATTTGAATCATACTCAAATAAATAAAAAAAATCTCAAAGTCAAATACTATATATGGTATAATTTTTCATATCCTTTTATTTGGATTAATAAACTAATTTTGAATAATATTAGTAGTTTGTAATAAATAAAAATCTCTTTTAAAATACATTTTGTGGTCCTGAAAAGGACCGATTGTTTTAGTTTTCTATTAAAAATTGTCCGCAAAATATAAAAATATGATGAATGTTTAACCGCCGAAACCGTACAAAGTACGACCTTGTCTCTTCAATGCATAGACGACATCCATAGCGGTAACGGTTTTCCTCTTGGCGTGTTCAGTGTAGGTGACAGCATCACGGATAACATTTTCCAAAAAGACCTTCAAGACACCACGAGTTTCTTCGTAAATCAAACCAGAAATACGTTTTACACCACCACGACGAGCCAAACGTCTAATAGCTGGCTTGGTAATACCTTGGATATTATCACGCAACACTTTACGATGACGTTTAGCACCACCTTTTCCCAAGCCTTTTCCACCTTTACCACGACCAGTCATTTTTTACTTTATTTTTTTCACTTAAAACACACTTCACAAATGATTCACAAGAACTAATAATTTCTTAGTTTCATTTTCATTTCATTTCATTTATTTCCAAAAAATTTTCATTACACATGTTTCCATTAAAACTACTTTTATATTAAATCTATTCCTTACGTACTAGTGTACATTCCATGGACATATCAAATTTGACTGGTACATATTTATAGCATTGCTGACAAATAATCATTTACATTTTTACATTTTACATTAAATCATTTAGATAAAATTCTCTAAAAAAGGGAAAAAAAGAGATCAAACTCCAACCTAAAACTAATTCTTATACTAAATAAATAAAAGCTTAAAACTAGGGAAGATAATTATATACAAAAGATAATAGATAGATATTTACAAAGTAAAGGCATATGGCCTATTGTGCAGTATTATACACAACATTAACTAGGTCTAATGTACCTATTCTCCTATGGAAGAACAGTAGGTTTGCACCCTGATAAAGAAGGCCAGCTTCCTTTAGAGTCAGAATGTCCACCGGGGACATATATCGAGACGCACTCACAGATTGAATATCCCTTGACCTACTAAAACATCCATGGACGAGACTGTTCTCTAAAGAACGAGCCTTTTCCATGGATAAAATAGCCGTCCTGGTCATGAACGCATCTATCCTCTCAAAGCCTATTGCCCTGTATATGGATCTGCAAGAAGGCCTGCGCCAGATCCCATCCGGACCGCGCTTCCTCCTAAGTCCCAGACATGCGACCAATATTCGTCTCTCCCATACCCTAAGCCTTTCCATCTGTGCAGAAGATATTCTGAACCAGACTGGAAAGGCGTAGGAGATGAGAGGACGAATTACCTGCCTATACAGAAGAAGACCTACTCTCCTATCTAGGCCCCTTCCATGGCCAAGAATCCCACGGTATGATGCGTATGCACGTTTCGTGCGCTCCAATACGTGGTCAATGTGGCGATAGAACTCAAAATTCTCGTGGAATACCACTCCGAGGTACTTCATCCTGTCCGATACAGGAAGCCATTCATTCCCGATCCGAAGAGAAGGAATGAATGACCTACTGTTCGGATACAGGTACTTACGTCGGCCCTTGATCATCACAGCAACCGACTTTCTCACATTGAGACGAAGACCCCATTTGGAGAAGTATTCCGCGAGTACAGCCAAATACGCATTCATCCGTGCATTCACCGTCCTAGCCCTCGGTCCCGATGCCGCCATGAGTATATCGTCTGCATATATAAGCAGAAGGTCGCCCTCAGGAGGCGAGGGGATATCACTCATGAGGACATTGTAGAGTACAGGACCCAATAAAGAGCCCTGTGGTACCCCCGCAACTACAGATCTCTCGCTAGATTGAGAATCTCCCACTCCTACGGCAAATTTCCTATTACTAAGGAAATCAGCCACCATCCTACACAATCCCCTATCGAGTCCCCTATCCAAGAGCTTACAAACAATGCCCTCTTGCCAGGCAGTGTCAAAAGCTTTCTCGAAGTCCAGACTAACAGCAATCGTAGGGTATCTGTTGTTAAGACCCCTTGTGACATAGTCAGAAAAGACCATTAACGCATGAGAAGTAGAGTGCCCCTTCCTGAAACCAAATTGTCCGTCCAAGAGGGAGTTATCCCCAGTCAAACCGTCTGTAAGTTTAGTCAAAAGAAAATGTTCCAGTAGTTTCATAAAAGGTGATAAAAGGGATATCGGTCGATAACTATTGCACTGTTTAGGATCCGATTTCGGTTTTAGTATCGGCACAATTAATGCCTTTTTCCATGCCTTGGGAAAATAACCAATATTTAGACAATGGTTGAACAGTATCGCCAGAAAGCGCCAGGTGTTGTGGCGAGTTTTTTTCAAAACATAATCTGGGATACCATCCAATCCACTGGACTTTTTATTGGATCTTCTCCTCAAGGCATCTCCGATTGACTCTGGTCGAATGAAACCAAGTTCATTCGGATCAGTGCCATTCGCAAGAGTATTGCCTCCAAAGACCGTTAAAGGACCCTCCTGTCCTAAGGATGCAGTCCTATCCCTCACAGTGTCAGTAAAAGCGTCCGTGCCCGTTCTCTGTCCACGTTGATGTACGTTATAAAACTGATCTGCAAGCAGATCAGCCTTCACATTATCGTCCGATGTCAAATTTCCCCGTAAGTCAATCAAATCGTTCACCGTATTGCGTTTGTTAAGTCCAGCAGCAGTCTTAATTTTCCTAAAAGTCTTGTCATTTACCTGTATGTTACCCAGAAAATTCTCCCAGTGTCCGCGTTCGTATTCGGCAATGGCGCCCTGAATTATCCGGTCAAGATTACGTATGTCAGCCTTCAATATGTTGAGTCGAGTAGGATCCTCGCATCTGTGTAGTATTCGTCTTAGTCTCTTTTTCTCCGCTATAAAGCCAAGAATATTGTCAGGTAGTTTCAGTAGCCCTTTACGTCCTACAATAACCTTAGGAATAGAAAGATCCATGGCGTTTCTAAAGGCCTGGCCCATAAGTTCAACGCAATCATCGATCTCCCTTTCAGTTACATTTCTATTGTCAGGCAGTACACATTCGTCAAGTTTCCTGGTCAAGAGTCTGTTAAATCGGTCTTTATCCATTTTGTCATAGTCAAATCTAGTCGGTTTAATCCGACCAATACAGTCATCAATACCAAAAATACATTCCACAGCCCTGTGGTCAGATTCAAAATCAAGTGTCCGTAAGCCATTACCAGTCACAAGTGGTGTCATGTCAGCAGATGTCATAATTATGTCAATGAAGGAGGATGTTGTCGCACATATCCTAGTTGGTCCATCAGTCGGTTGAATATGCAATTCAGGATTCGCAAGAAGAAGATCATATAGAACTCTACCACTACAACTGGTGACCGTGTCCCCCCAGTGTGGGTGTCTGGCATTCAGGTCAGCCCCAATTACCACACCACCTTCACTGACGAGATCGATCACCGGTCCCAGTTCCACAGCAGACATTGTGTCCTGTGGTCTACGGTATAA